CCGATTACAATCGAATCTCTTCTTCTCTACTTGCTTTTGCTCATCTCTCCAGTTTCCTCCTTTCATTGTTCAAATGGTGATTTCTCCGAATCCCTTGTACCATAGTCGCTCCTACCTGCTCTTGATATCTTCAGCTTATAGAGTGGGCTCATCCCACTCTTTCTGACATCAGAGAACATGTCCCAAGACGAGGAACCTACTGATGTGGTTGCCGAAGACGAGAGCCCTGCGCAAGATTCATCTGACGCGGCAAACGGAAGTCTGGCAGAAATAAAGGATGGATCTCTTGGTGCCACTCAGGACCAGCTACTGCAAATGATTGCTCAGCTCAGATTAGAAAATGGCATTCTCAAATCCCAGTTTGAGGGGTTAAAGGATCAAGTAGAGCAAGCGGAAGGGGACAGAGCAGACTCAGCTCAACTGGAACAACTTCACCAACAGGTCGCATCATTGAGTAAAGAGATTGATGTAGAAAAACAAACTCGAGTTGCAGCTGAGCAAGCTCTTGAGCATCTAAGGGAAGCATACTCTGAGGCAGATGCAAAAGCACACGAATACTTCACCAAGTTTTCCCAAGGTCAGCCATTTGCTCACCAGGATCTCTCATGTTCGCATTTTCTTTATTTTTCTCAACTTGTGCGCTTCATTTTTGGTGTAGTTCAACAGAAACTAGACCAGGAGATAAAAGAGCGCGAAGAGAAATATGCCGATCTGGACGCCAAATTCACCAGGCTTCACAAAAGGGCTAAACAACGCATTCAAGAAATCCAAAAGGTCAATCTCTATCTGTAGATCAGTTTATACTTTCTGTTGAGCCACTTTGAAGCTGCAGTGAGTTTCCAAAACCACCTTTTTCTTTTGCTACACCGTTTCGGAATATCTATGCTGCATTTAAGACATATGTATATTTCACTGTGCTGTGCTGCACCAGTCTAAATCTTAACGGTATATATTGCTATCTTCAGGAAAAAGATGATCTCAACGCCCGTTTCCAGGAAGTGAATGAAACAGCTGAACGAGCATCTTCACAGCACTCATCCATACAGCAAGAGCTGGAACGCACTAGGCAACAGGCGAATGAAGCACTGAAAGCAATGGATGCAGAGAGGCAACAATTGAGAAGCGCCAATAACAAGTAAATAACACGGATATAGTTTGTATAGACGGCCTTTTAAGTTTCCTTCTGGTTATGCTATGATTAGGAACTGTATGAATTAAATGTCATCTTTCCCACACTTTCTTTGGCTATCTCTCAGAAATTGAGCACTTGAGTTTTCTCTTCTTTTTTTTCCCCATACGCAGGCTCAGGGATACTGTCGAGGAACTACGTGGCTCATTGCAGCCTAAAGAAAGTAAGATAGAGACATTGCAACAGTCACTTCTTGATAAGGACCAGGTCTGATCTATTTCGTTTTCTGTAATATTCTTCTGCAATAAATAGATAGGTTGAGAGTTATGGAGAGAGAGAGCGACGGATTGCTGTTTATGCTCTACCTCACATGCCTGCTTTTATCCTAGGTGCTGGAGGACCTGAAAAAGCAATTACAAGCTGTAGAAGAGAGAAAGCAAGCTGCAGTTAGTGAGTTGTCAGCCAAACATCAAAAGGTAGTCCGCATCAGCCTAAATGTCGGGCTTCTTATATGGTACGAGCCACCATTGTCTTATTGTCGCTTCCGTCCATCTTCTTGACAGAACTTAGAGAGTTTGGAAGCACAGGTCATGGATGCTCTATCTGAGAGGGACAAAGCAGCCGAAACCATTTCAGGGCTGCGGGTTAGTCCTATTTCCTTAGTTCTCTTGTTTGATGCTGTCCTTGGGTTTTCAATGAGCAAGAGAGAATAGTTTGAAATTTTTGACGAAGTCTTCACACCAAGTATTTCCATTTTATACGTTTTTTAGGTACTACTTGCAGAGAAGGAATCCAAAATTGCAGAGATGGAGGCTGCTGCAACTGGCGAAGCAGCAAGGCTAAGGGCTGTTGCAGAATCTCTTAAAGGAGAGCTCGCACACCTTAAAGAGGAGAATGTAAGTGGAATTGAAAAGATGGATTCCCAGGACTCTCTGATGCCATATCTTTCTCCTGTTATTTGTCCTTCGTGATTGTTGTCCATCCCTATGATATTCTAAGAACTTGTTTCACGTACTAATCTTCAAATGAGTTCCTTTGTTAATTTAGCAGATTT